TTGCTGTATCTAGATCTGGTCCTCTAGCATACAAGTAGGGAAGATGAGGAAAACGCTCAACAGAAAAAGAGCTAGTAAGTTATTAGAGCTGCTGCTAGTGATCAGGTATTCATCACCCTAGCTTAGCTAATTTCCAGGTTCCCCTCAAATTTTGGCAAAATGTATATTGCACTTCGCTTTCGATTCCTCTTGTAGCCTGAGTAGTTCAATACAAGTTTATGTCTATATCATCAGTATTGCTTTGTAATAGTGGTCCTACCAAAGAACGGGGTACTAAGATCTCTACATAGTCAGCGGCGTCGACCAATGGGTCAAAGGTCCAATTATAAATGTTATTATTATGAAAAACATATTTACTTCTAAGAACATAATTAATTAGTACAGTGATTTGTAGCTTTCTAATCAGATAAATGGTTTGAAATGAATGTAAAATTGTTGTTAGTCCATCCACGCGACAGAGAAACTGGGTTGTTTCGTTGTTTGAAACTAGGTTGTTGTTACCATGCGAGTTCTTTCACCTTCAATATTTTCCTCTGAAATGTGTCGACGTACAATTTGGAAGAAATAAAATACAGTACATATTTCTCGTTTTTTTTTTCACAAGTAAATACAAACTTTATATGGAATAAGGTGTTATTTCATTTTTAAATATTATTCGCTTGATTCAACAAATAATTTTTAGTTGGATTTAATAGAATTTAAATTCATTGTGTTTTAATGCACCTTATATTTGGTTACTACGTAATTAAACAATACATACGCATATATATTAATAATGAAATATTGTACAACTAAAGAAAACGTATACCCATATTTCCACGTATTTATAACATTGTCCCAACTCTGGCAAATGAGACAACTAACGGAAAAATCCAGTTGAGGTCGAATTTTGAAATATTATATTAGTAATATATACTAATCTCACCCGTTTCTCATAAGAACAAGATATTTCATTTCAATAGGGCGCCGGCCAGAAGAAAAATTATGGCGCGCCATATGCCAGCCACAATCTTTCAAACAGAACCAGTGATTCAGACGTGAAAGCGGTAACTTTGTCTTCGAAAGATAATTAGCATTTCAGGGAAGGCAGCACAAGCTGCAGCTATTCACTTCAATACATGGTCCAATAAACAAGTTCTAGGCCGAACAATATCAACAAACAGAAATTCTTGGGCAGGACGATCCACGAGACATCAGTTAATCAGACCGATCATAAAACAGGCATTAACATATTCAATAACATGTTTATATATCTAGTTACGATTGACTTTGACCATTAATTTGTTCCTATCTATGTCCCTTTGTTCCCGATCAACCTCCTCACAAATGTGCACTTAATTCACCAAACTGTTCAAGAGTTTCCACATTGTCGTCTGAGAGCCTGACTGCATCTAGCTTCTGCCTAAGAACGTCAATGGCATTCAATAACAACTGAGAAGCTTTGATTGCACCCGTAGATTCCACAGCGAATATGAAGGAATCTTGCCTTGCATTGATTTCCACAAGCCCAGGCTTGCCCATAGCTTCAGCTTTCTTGATCACCTCATCATCGTAAGTATATGCCTCAGGATCAGCCACCATAACCTGGTAGATGGTAACAAGTTAGCTATGATAAATTCATTAAATTGACTAGGGACAATCAGAGGTTCTCATGTAGATCTCACCTATAAAAGGTAGATGATGCGGAGTAACTCAAATATATAAACACAAGTCATAGATAGTGCCTATTGAAAAGACTTGGGTTGTCTTCTCTGAATACACCAATTTCAGAAGCTTTTGAGCTTTCAAATCAGATATATCAATTTCCGAAACTCAGATTTGATTCAGCAAGAAAGAACTGAGTAAGAGTATCTTCTCAAGAAAATGCGCCTCAGCTCAGGATAATATCAATTTTAACAAATATCAGAGGCTGTTTCATGAATCGCCATACAACTTCCTCAAATTATAACATTTGACACTTCTGTAGAGCCTAAAACTCATGAAATCGTTAGCTCTATCTTAAAGAAGAAAAATTTCACACTACTGCATCATGCCTATGATTGGAATCTGCATCAGCCATGTTTCTCCACATTTAATCACATTTCTGGCAACCATAACCACCTCAGCAATTTGGATCCAACCGAAGTAACTGCAGGTTGTTACCAAAACAAATATCTTCAGAGATTCACCAAACTCTGGAAACCAGGTGTATCTTTATTGTGGCATGTGCCGTCTTTATGTTTCTGTGAGCTTAAACTAAGGATCACTGCCATAAAGCAACTGAAACCCAAACTTGAAAACCAACTGCCAGCAATCTTTACAAACTACAAGGACTACACATCATAAAAAAACAAAAACCAAAGAAGAGCCAGAAAAAGGACATCAAGAGGTACCCTCAATTGTACTTTCTTGTCTACTGTAACCCAGAAAGCCAAACAGGAAGAGGAGAAGGTTACAGATCACATAGTATGATCATAAACTTATAGTCATGAACAGTGCAGTGCAACATGTCCATGCAAGGTTAGATCCAAAGAGAAATAGTGAAATACAGAACTACAGTGCACCAAACCATCATTTCAGCACCAAACCTAGAATCTAGGGAGGGTTAAATGTTCACACCCACAAAATTCTAGAGTATAAGTGGAAGGCCAAATGGAAGGAACTAGCACCGGTGACGAAATCACTGAAAAGTGTATAAAGTGCATAACTAGCATAAGCAAATAGAAACCAACCTGTTGCGTTACAGGATCAATATCAAACACACGGGTAGGACAACTATCAACCCATTCTCTTTTCTCATCAAGCGTCAATGTCTCCATGAGATCTTCATTTATATGAATTTCTGGCTCGTACATGAAAGTTACAGTGGCGGCTGGTGACCATTTCGCATGATCTTTGCCAATTCCTTTCCTAGCTATTGCTCTCAGCCTCAGTTCCTGCCCTCGACGCAACTTCACAATTATAATCCCCCTAAATACAACTCGAGCATGTCATTAAGCGGAAAAAGTCCATTGAACATACAAACAAACGCTCGCCAGGTCAAGTATGAATTAAGTTCTGAAAATGACATAACTTAGATAAACAGGAAAATATATAAAAAAAACTAATTTATATTCCCCGTTTTCGGATTTGAAAGTCAAGAGCATTATTTTTCTTTTTCGCTTTCCCTCCCATTAAGAAAGAAATCACATTGGAGAATTACCTGTTCTCAGAAGCCTCCATACCAGCAGGGTCACTGAAATCTACAGGAACCACAGTGTGGTCGGAGCTATAGAGGTCCTTGCTGGTGACATCTAGGGTTTCGTCGGTCATGCACTTGACCCTGAGGTGGAACTCGACGGAGCAGAATTCACACTGGCCGTCACCGTCGCAGGCATCGCAGTCACGCGAGAAGCGCATAGCCATGGCACGGTCACTGGTGAGGGGGATAAGACCAAGGCGGTGGGCGATGAACTCGTCGTTGAGGACCGAGGAGTTGACCTCGATCTCAACTAGGTCAATGGCGACTGTGGGCACCTCGGCAATCATGACGCGGCGGAGGGCGTTGGCGATGCTAGCGTCGGTGTCTCGGAGCTCAAACTTGACATAGTCATCCTTGAGCTCTCTAATTTTGACTCTGGGCATGCGAGCGTAGGACACTCCCTCCATTGCGGTGGTGAAGAAACACTGATCGGAGAAGAGGCTCCTTCAGGCTTAAACCCCGAAACCAGGGTTCTGCTCGGTTTCGTTGCGTTTCAGTTCGCCGGCTTCTGTACTTTTTGTTGTTGTTGTTGTTTTTTTCTTTTTTTTTTTTGGGCCTGACTTTGTGTTGATTTACTTACCCAGACGAAAGGAAGAAAAGGGCAAAAAGTCTAAAAATAATAATCCATAATTAAATTGCAGTCTGAATTTGGTATTATTTTATCATTTTATAAACTCGTATAAACTTTTATATTTTTTCACTTTAATTAAAATTGAATTAAACTTGTAATTTAATCTTTCAATGTAAATTATATATTTGTGGTACTTTTTATAATTTTTAATTATGTTACTCCTGATAAATTTTACATTATGTATCAATCAATATATATAGATGAATAATTGTGTGTTACTTTATTTTACAAAAATAAATTATTGATGCCGTGAGTGAACTAAAAATTGAAAATTTTTATTGGCATTGTGGCAAATAACACGGTGTAACAAATAATAAAGAAAATGACACACCATGGAGAATACACCCGAACTTTTATCATAAATTTGAAATTGAAATGTATTCTTCTTTATTATTTGAAAAAAGGAATAACAGTTACAAATAATTTAAAAGCTTTAATTAAGCAGGAAAATTAGAGAGTTTGGCAACGAGACCTTTATTCTTTCAAAATGAGTTACGTAACATTTCATAACTATCACGTTAAAATTTATTTCCATTTTTTTTAATTTTCATCAAGAATTTAAACATTTTCTTTCTCCTCCAAACTTTTTTTTTTCCCGTAGTTAGGTGCCCTACTGTATATACTACTTCCGGTCTTTAATATAAAACCTCGTTTGACTTTTATTTTGATCCTAATCTGTTTTGTTTCTCATAGTTATGCATTTTTTCACAAGAAAATCTTTCTAATAATAGTAGTTCTAACTAATATACTTGATTAGCAAGGATATTTTAAGAAAGACAACATATATTTATTACAGATAACTAACTTAATTTATTTTCTTAATCTCCTCAAATTAGTCAACTAACTCTTATAATTAAGACCAAATATGGAGATTATTACACTTCACCAGATATAAACATAAAGCCATAGCTAAAAATTTATACAGAAGATATAAATGAATCTTTCATAGATCACTGTCAAAGAGTGCACTATCCTTTCCTTCTTTCTGAGCTTTCAGGTCTGTCTCCTCTACTCTTCTGGGCATGAAACATTGGCATCTTCATATATTATAGTCAGATTCCATTGACTCATATTCCATGGTCAACAACACACAGAAGACTGTCAAGTAATGGATGGGAACCACAGGAAGCAGCTAAGAAATTCTTGACAGATTGAGAACTGAACTCCCTTATAGAAGGATTCTGCTAAGATATACTTGTGACATGCCTAAATATATTTTCATGACCATATGATGCTAGCGCAAATGATGCCTGCATGATGATAAACCAAATCCTTTATCAGCAGAGATGGCAAATTTACCTCACCAAGCTTTTGTTTAGAGTTCACTAAAACAAAATGACAAACCTTAGAGTCTCCTTTGTACCGCGGCGAACTTTGCACCGGATGGTCGGAAGCCCGAGGCGCTGGTGAGCCTCAAAGCGGTGGCAGCCAGAGAAGCCTGCAAATCAAACAGAAGTATATATCAATCTTTGACTGAGACCACCACGCAAGATCTTTCAACATTCTCTCAATTTCCTGATTTCTGACATAACTCCTTTCTCATATACCTAAACTAATCGTGATTTACTCTTGAGCTATAGTATATAGTAGTTTTAACCATCAATTTTGTCCGTTTAAGAAGAATAATAGTAAATCTACACACTCTTCAGAGACGAGAGCAACTGGATTGGTTTGCGAATGAACATGTGTTGAAGCTATGATGCACAGTAAATGGTTGAACTTGTGATTGTGTTCTAATGTGTGGGTTCTGTTACTGTTGAATATCACAATAAAAAATGGCTAAATGGTGATACTTTATACCATGCAAGGGAAGTTCATAAATTACAAGATTTTGTACATACCATAATAGACTCCATCAACCTCGAGAACATCAATCTGGATCAATAAAAGTCAGATAACTTAGTAGCTCTGTCCGTGATATTTTGATGAATCAAAATTACATTTAGCCCAAACAAGAGGAAACACTAGTGTTACATGAACACAAAAATCCAGCTTGCAGCTAAACTAAACATTTCCTATAATTAGTTACACATCTTATATCCCTTACAAGTGATTGGAATAAAAAAGGCATGCACTGAATATGACTTAGGAGGATGATACGATTATACATACCAAGTTGCATCAAACCACACTTAACAATGCAACAAAACACGGACTTTCATTTGGGAAATACCCAATGACATCAAGTTCTTATAGTTAATAGAAATTCCACACCTGAGTAATTCATATTTCTTTATGAAAAAACAACATACGAAAGATGTTTGCCATTGGAAGCAAAGCTTGAAGTTTTCAGGGAACAACTTTGCCAGAAAAAGCTTCACTCTATGCTCATTAGAAAGCTTGAAGTATATTGCTGCTTAGTGTAAAAAAGTGAGTAGATTTTTCTTATAAATTTTAAAGATTCCATACCAACCGTAAACTTGTTGGAGATCAACTTGCACTAAAAATTCTCGCTCCAACAAATTCAGCATAATTCATCTTAACCCCTCGGTAATTTTTTTCTTAGAAACCAACTTAAGGGGAAACCTAAAGCTGATAATCTTATTTTCACCTGGCGGTGCAAAACATATTAAACTCAGAATAAATCATAGAAACGAACTCTCTAACGCTGGAGATTAACTTGCAGCGGAAACGCTTGCTTCAACAAGAAACCCGTCATAATTCACGCAGTATTCCCACAAAAATCATTTTCCGAGAAACCAACCAGTGGGAAAACCGAAAGCAAATCATCTTTACCACAGAAGTTGTCTAACAAAAGCGGTTCCTCGGTGAGAATTCAAACAAATAATAGTGATGAGTTTAGCAACTTGCAGTGAAAATCGTTGCACCAACAATAAACTCAACAAAGTTCCCTCTTTGTATATTGCTAGAGACCAACTTGCAGTGACAATCCTTGCTCAAACAAACCATCCATCAGAATTCCCTCTATGAACTTCCCTCAAAGCATTTTCCCAGAAACCAAACAGAGAAAACCCAATTACACAAAGCCCCAAAGGGAACAAGAAATAGAAGAAAATTTAACAGGGGAAACAAGTGCTTACAGGAACTTGAAGTCCAATTTCGCTAATACTATCCATAAGTTCTTTCACTTTGTCAGGATCATTTGCCCTTGTCCTCATTAATGGCCTCCTTATCTTCTCTAGAGGAAGCTCCAGAATCACTGGTCCTGCAGCACCAACACTTCCCGTTCCAGAAGCAGTAGGAGAAGCCCCTAATCCATATAAACCAAATAATAGTTATCAATTAACTGAGGAATATTATAATTTAATAATTACAGATTAATAGGAAAAAGAAGGAGAAACTATTTCTCATTGATAGAAATAAGAGATCATAGCAAGTACCGTTGGACGAAGAAAAGACTGGGAAGTTCCTCAACCGACTTGGAACCTGAAGAACAAAATTCGCCATTTTTTCCTGTTCTGTTGGAGAATCTTCTTTTCTTTATGTTTTTTTAACGAGCAAATCGGAAAACGAAATGCAATTTTAGAACCACAAGATATGTTAATCACGACAGTGACATGGCCCACCAACTTCAACGGTGCAGATGAGAGATTTTACATTCTCTGGAAGTACCCGTCCGCAGTAGGTAAGTCCTCAATATATTTCCCTCGCTAGAAATTTTCCCAAAAAAATGAGGTGATATCAGCTCTGCTTCATTGGGAGCTATGGCTGCGACAATTCCTTTCTCACTGATTAGGTACAATACAAATTCTTCATTGCCGGATTGTTTATGTGATATTGAGTCTGGCTTCGCATACTTGTCAGGAACTCCTCGGCATTGATATCACCAAGACTTTTCGTGCCTTTCGTGAAAGCGGCAAACCACAATTTCTCCAAGTTTATTCTTCCTATCCAATCTCGCAGGTGTTACTTTCATCTCTTCCTTCTCTACTTAGCTTCGTTTGCATATTTTGCGCTAGAAATAAATCGTTAGCTCCGTATAATTAGCGTTTTGCTGTTTTAAGTTTTTACGGATTGCGAAGCTGGCAAAATGAGGGAAATTGCAGAGAGATAGATGAATGATGGATGGAATGAAGCAGATTACAATAGAAGGTTCTGCGAAATTCAGGTTTCAAATAGGTTATTATGGAGAAAAATGACAGTTAAGAGGATCGATAACTTGCATTAGTAGTAGTCAAAGAGTTAAAAAAATCATTTTTCTTTTCTGGAAGAAATCTAATCTCCGAAGTGTAACGGGAACGAAGGGTTTTGACTTTAGTAAAGATTTAAAAATATCGTCGTACTATTAAAAAGATTATGTTTTAATTTTGCATATCATTTGTTCTTTAAGAATGCAAGTGACAATTCTTACCAAGGTGCTAGCTACTGCATCATAATTTAATGAGGAAAGCATTCAAAAGTTCTAGCATTATTGAGGTTAAAGATAGGAACACAATAAGGAAATACAGGGAGTGTTCTTGGAGAAAGAAAGCGAAAGAGAACTGATGTTATTGTACCAATCATTTTGTAGTCAGAGTATTCGGTGTATAAATTCACTTTGACTCAGCTCATTGCCTAAGCTATCATGACAAGACGAATAAAATTCCTGTTAGGGAGAAATTATGAAAATAAATCCGAGGAATGTGGTTGTAGCTAAAATACATCAATTATCAAGATGATAGTAGTGTACTTGTAATGGTGCGCAGACATAATAGATTCAGATAGAGTGCAATTTTATGTACCAATCTATTTACCTTGGACTAATCAAGTGAGCCCGCTTATTAAATTTGATATCCGTAGGAAATTTTCAAGTATTGTGTACCTTGGTAGTTTTTTGAGTTTATTACCATTGTTATCTTTAGTGAAAAGCATGATATTTAGTTTTACCTTTTAGTATACAAGACTTCTTCTTCTTCTTCTTCTTTTTTAAACATTGTGGACAACCTGAACCTGTTTCTGGTGCCAAATACTGCATGCTGGATTTCAAAAGAACTATGATTAGGTAAGGTTTCTTTTGGCACTCATTATTAGGTTTTCTAAAGATAACATCACATGTCAAGGGAGTTTTGTGGAAGACAATCATGTGAGAGAAGATGTAAAAGAATATATACTAGTTATATTTATGTGGGAGAACTTAATAGAAAGCACCTAGAAGTTGTATCTTAACTTTGTCCGTTTCAGAATGTTTTTTGTCTCGTCTCTGAATAACTTTAGCAACTGACCTATAGTACAGATTGCCTTTCAGTACTGGTGCCACAAATAATGAAGAGACTGCAGCGAAAGCAGCTGCTCTCGATGCTGATAGTGGAGCCCCAACAATGTACAGCCATTCTGACTCTCAGTCTTTAACACACTGCTTGCTTATCACTCTGGAATATTTTATTTTGGACTTCCCAAGTTTATCATAATTGAGCTGGCAAGTTTTGCAAATATTTAAATGTTGGGGTTTCAACATTTATAGCTCAGTCATTTTCCTTGTCATAGAGAAGTGAATTACTGTGATGAAACATAAAATATAAAGTATCTCCGTGTGATTTCATAGTAGAAATCAGCCAAAATTATCAACATTGTTGAACTTCTCTGTCCCTCGGAAAGAATGTTTTAGACTGAGTTTTGGAAAATGTATTGAAAGGATTTTGAATATCTTTCACAGGATTTCACTCGGAAATGAATTGTAGCTGGGTATGGCCATTCAGGCTCTGGTAAATATGATACGAGTCTTTATTAACCAAAAAAAAAAAAACGATATGATTCTTCGAAATGCCTTTTGGGATAAAGGATGACCAATGTCTTCCTTGATCTTAACGTAATTTGTACATAAGGGTATTTTCATTAAATCAATGATAATATTTTAGACATCAGGACAGCCATGTATCCTGTATGAAAGAACAAGTATAGTAACATAATTGCTTAATTGTCTGATTGTTTTATTTTTGTTCTTTCTTTTCCTGGTGTTCAATCTGGTAACCCTTTTATCTATCAGATTTGACAAGATCATACATAAGGAAATCCCTTCAAGCATTGTGTATGAAGATGAAAAGGTCCTAGCATTTCGGGACATTAATCCCCAGGCACCAGTTCATGTTTTGGTCATTCCAAAATTTAGAGATGGACTGACGCAGCTTGGGAAGGTAATAAGTCACCCTTTGCATATTGTTTTTTGTACGTGGAAGAAAATTTTGTATGATATGTTTGTGCTGTGCTTTTTTCTCTTTTGTGTTTTTTTTTTTTTTTTTGGGGGGGGGGGGGGGGTTAACCTTCCAAGTAGTGACCGCTATAGGCAGTGTATCTTGTAAAATGAGGTTTAGCTGCTGTTTTCTCAAATTTCTGCTGTAGGAAGATTTGTAGGCAATGATTGGAGAAAGGAAGTAACAGGAAACAAAAGAGAAACTACGTGTTTCCTTCCTGTCCAAGAGGATAAGTAGTAAGAGTAAAGAAAAGAAAGGTAATTGCTTTTGTTTGATTCAAGGGGCAGAAAGTTGGCTTCATATACCGTGGTTTGTAGGATATGTGACTCTCTTCCTGTTTGATTGATATGTTTTTCCAATTCTTGTTTGTTGTTTTCTATAGATTTCAATTTTTTCTTCATAAGCATGGAATTGGTGAGATTTTCAATCGTTATTTAGTATGCATTTCAAATGATTACCATCATAGCAGCGACGAACTGTGTGATTAATATAAAATCCGCTTTCTAAACTTCACTGATTGTTCATAAATTCAGGGATCCATAAACTCGAAAGATGTGCGTGTTACTGTGTGTGTGCATGTGTGTGTGGCGATTTTAATTGGATATGTAGCATCTTTGCAGGCTGATCCTAGACATGAGGAGATACTAGGTCAGCTTCTGTATGCTGCAAAAATAGTGGCTGAGAAGGAAGGTATTGTTGATGGATTTCGTGTGGTCATCAACAACGGTCCCAGTGCCTGTAAGCTCATTTCTGTGTGGGTTTAGTTTCAGTTGCTTAATGAGCCATTTTTGCTGCCAATCCCATTCATCCTCCTTCTCTCTCTTTTATTATGAGCAGGTCAATCTGTGTATCATCTGCACTTGCATGTATTAGGTGGGAGACAGATGAAATGGCCACCAGGTTGAAGATTGAAAAGCAATGGCTGTTAGAATTTGAAACTTAAATCTCCTTTTCTATTATTGTTATCATCGTCCCATGTCACAATAACAGCCCGGCCTAACAGCTCCTCCTCTGATAACCTCACATGGATAATGATTGCTTCTGCATGAGAGCTGTCTTTATTACAGACATAATGTAAACCATCTAGCTACATGGGGCCATTGATCTTAGTTCTGTGGTTAATTCGACAAGGGCTTAATTAAGCAGGATGATGAATTTCTTTTGCTATGATTATCTTATTGCAAATATTAGGAAGATGTTAGATTACAAAGCTCCTGCCCGTTAAAAGAAGTAATGAATGCATGTGACATGAGAGTATAAAATTATCCGCATGTTGAAACGAACACCCATATAAAATGATTGGCTCATCAAGCTAATTACGACTATTTTGCTCCAACTTCTGGGATGTGGAGACCTGTTAGCCGATTTGGTCCTTTTTTTTTTTTTTCAAGTGTCTCAGCGATCTTTATATTCCAAAGAAAAGAAATCACGTCACATTTAGTTATAGAAAATGATGCGTTTCGTTTAAGAATCCTCGCGCGATACATTGAAATGCAAAAATCTCCGTTGACGCAAAAATATTGAAGATTTCTGTTTAAGGTTAGATTAATAGGAATTTGGAAGTGAATTGGATCCGAAAGCTTCTACGGCAGGTAGCAAGACTTCGAGTATTTAAAGACTTTAAATTTAAATTATGTACCTACTAATATAAACAAAAAATATCAAGAATGTAACAATAAAATAGAAGTGAGGTCATGGTGACAAATCTAACCTAGACATTTCATGAGTGAGCCATGGCACCAAATCCATCTTGACAAAACTAGAGGTAAATAAAGAAACGGGAACCTTTCAAAGAATTAAAAGAATAGTCAAATTGCTGTATATCCTATCCTGTACAAATTAAGGTACAACCAAGTTATCAAATCGTGTCTTATGAAAATTTATATTTGTATGGTGGCATCTACCACAAAACGTGCCAGGAATCTTGGAATATGGTGAACTCGTCCCTGGACTAGTGAGATAGCCCTCCAAGAGTGAAAATAAAACATACACTCACCAAAGAGCCGCTATAGAGTACTAACTGCAGTCCGGTTTGTACACACACAAGAGCAGTCAGAATCCTTTCTGACCAGCCTTTTCTCACGGTTAATCATCAGTTTGATCAAGGGTAGCTTCCTTGAAACCTGTCTCCAGATTTCATTAACTGTTCCATCTGATTCCGCATATTGAAAGTATCGCTTCACCTGCAACGAGATATAACATGTCAATATCTTGTCATCTTTTTTTTTTTGGGGGGGGGGGGGGAAGAAGAGGGGAGAAACATAACTCAATTTGAAGCAAACAAGATTGGCTCCTGTATTAGCCATGCAAGTGAGGAAACAAAGACTAAAAAATTGAAACAAAAATGCATAATCATGAAAAATGAGATTTTCACTATCGTAAACGGCTCACCCAAGTTTTAATTAAAACTCAATTAATCTATTTGTAATTCAGATTGAATGCTGATTAAATGGTCACAAATTCCAACACACTTGGATCTAAAACAGACTAGACAATTGCCATGCACTTAGAATAAGGGAAAAAAAAATGCAATCAGAGTATATAGTTCAAACCACGTGTTCCATGATTAATAATAGGGGCCAATGAGCAAGAGAAACTGGTTCTCATTCCTTATCACAATTCAGTTTGGTCGAAAACGTAACTCATCATGTCGTAATGCACATTAAACACATGTACAATGCAAAAAAATTTTCATCCCACCATTACTAACCTCTTTTAGTTCTTTCTGATATTCAAGGATCCTATCTGGAGATACCGCTCTCAACGCTGACACCAAGTATCCAGGCTTTATAGCAGCAGTAGATTCTACGAATATTGCAATTTTTCTGTAGTCTATAGTGTCTTCAAATGGCAATTCAATACTATCACTAACAATCACTGGAACGCACAAGCTAACAATAGCATCAAAGAGTCGGCAAGCTGATGGAGTATCTCCAGCAGGATGTAAACAGAACTTCGATGTATGCATTCCTTGTGAAGCTGCGCGTCTACTCTCCCTGGACTGTGCTCCATGCTTTATTATTACATCCTTTTCTTTTTCAAGAATTTGAAAGAGTGTATCACGAATTTTGCCTCCCTGTCAAAGAGATTGGAATATAAGGAAATCAGTTCCAGGAAGAAATTGTCCCAAGAGAGTTCCTGCACCAAGGCACTATACTTCCTTGCTTTTTATTTTTTGTATTTTACTTGCAATTTAGGCAAATGAAAAAAAAAAAAAAAAAAAACAAGGCAAATGAAGGTGCAGAATGATGGTCCATGGTTTGCACGACATTAGGAAAAAGAAAACTCAGTTTCAGAATCCCTGGAGAAAATGATAGTGTTTCTGAAAATAAAGACCAAAGGAGAGGAGAACTTTTCTATGACCAAAACCAGTGTAAGGAAATTGAAGCTCAATTAAAGCTCGTAAGTTATTATAGTAGCCTCTTGACATAGATAATTTTCAATCAACAAGATTAATATATCAACAGACTCTTTCGACTCTCTCAATGGCCCTACCCTATAATATGATGATTGCTGATTGCTTTGGCAAAATTGACTATGAAGAGAAAAGAAACTCTGAAAGGGAAAAGGCCTCATCATAGAAAATTATGGAGAAACTGCATGAATGCAAGCTTCTAGTGGTGAAGAGTGCTTACAGCAGTTATCTTCAATGAAAAGAATCCAAATCAAGGTGCTTTTTTAAATAAAAAAATTACAAAATGAATAAGGTTTAACATTGCAGGTGGCACTAGCTCTGCCAACATTTATGGAAGGCTAGACCAAAGTTCTTATGCTCATCCGAGAAAGAGACGGCAGGAGTTAAGTAATGATCACAATCCAAACCTCATAGCAAAATATTGAATGATTGGCAATCATATATGGATCCATGTCTAGTGCAACGAATTTTGTTCCTTTCATATATATTCAAAACATTTTTTTTCTTTTTTTGTGTCCATGCAAAGCACATGTAATGGAAACATTTCAACATCCACGATGTTGAAAGCATCAATCAATTTCCTTTCAAAATCTGAATCTCATCTACGCTTTCCCATTAGCGTACTCGGTCGCACATCTTCTGAAGAATAACCACCCACCAATCCAATCTAATATCAACAGAGGATCATTCATTTCTGACATGTACTATATCAATCGGACACAAACTAAACCTCATCCAAAAAGCAAAAATCCATAATAAAAGTAAGCTCACAATAGCATGAATTATAACTACCAAATTTATGAGCATCACATGTAGATGTAAAACTAAACATTATTTATTACCTCCTTGCGATATCTGTTGCCCATGAAGAACAACAACGTCTTGCGATTGTCGAGACCAACATCACCGTCATACACTCGGATTCGGTGAGAGTATGGTATTACGACGTCCTTAATAATGGATCCCTGGTCCGGTCGCAGACGCCCAAAATCCGACACAAGCAACACACTGTTCTTTACCCTATCGACCACCCGGTACAGCGCATTCGGATCTGAAGCGACAAACACATGGTCTCTCCCATCATTCCTTTTCCAATACTCCTGCTCCTCCAGCCACTCCACCAGCGCCTCCTCATTCTGCTCGTCGCTATAAACAGGCTTCTCAGAGTCCGTCGTACCGGGGGGGCGAATCGGGTTCACAATCAAACTCAGAGAAGAAAAGAACGGCACAAAGAATAGGTCTGCCTCCTCGGGATCCAATACCCTAACAACAGGCGAAGCAGCACGCGCGGACTGGGGCCGCATGAGATCAGAGTAAAGGTACCACTCCGACATGTGCTGATGTCCTGGGTACTTGAGAGTGGTCACATCATCGACATGTCTACCACCACGCGCCAAGGAATGTTGCTCGATGACTCCATAGGTGAACCTGGTGGGAAGATCATAGACGTAGACTTTGACAGGCAAATTCCCAGAGCGATGATTGCTCTCCCTGAGCACGACGGAAGCAGTTTTAGCTGAATTAGACGAGAAGGCGGTGTCATCGATTTTGGCGGAGGAATTGGCAACGTTGGTGGGGTTGAAGAAGGTGCTGAAAAAGGCAAAAGTGACCAAAGCGACGAAGAACGTAACGAGGGTTCGCTTCAGAGCCGATTTTCGCGCCATTGCGAAACCCGCGATCGCGCGAAGAAAGAAGAACAATGAAGAAAGGAGGGTTGGGTGGCCTGCTGGTATAGTCGTATGGTCGATCCACCACAGGGCGCAATTGGATAATGTCAGGGAGCGAAGAGAAACACCTCTCCCCTTCGGTGTATGTGTCTGTAGCTCATGGAAATGGAATAGCAGAAGCCATTGGAGGCGTAGATTGGCAGAACTAGGCGAGTACTGGATTAATGATGATTATGAAAATCTAACTTCGCATATTATATGGTTAAGAAAAAATAATTTTGTTGATATAACTAGACTATCCATCCAATTAATTAATCAATTAACTTGGCTGGTCAAAAAAATCAATTAATTTAATTCATTCATCTAATCATTCTGAAATGTAAAAACATCAACTATCAACTATTTAATAATAACGATAAGCATAACTTATGTATTAATCTATCCTAATTGATATTTAATGACTTATTTTAAGAGCTAATCTGTTTTCAACCGTATTATATGGGTTAGGATTATTTGGAGTTATTAGTTGAAATTCAGATAAAATATGACAGGCTTCAACAGCTCCTGTTTTTTCACCGTTTCTCCCTGATTTTTTTACAAGTAACTAACCATGCGATGTAGACTGTTAATTTTACTATAATGACAATCATTTTGCCTTCTCTTCAAAGAAAAAATGTGGTGGCAAGTCATTTTGCGCAGGACAGAGATAAAAGTCATTTACAGTTTTCTTCTCTTTTCTCTCTCCTAACTTCACTTCATCATTTCAAATAATATTAATTTTAAAGGAATGACCTATAACAAGAAAATTTTGGCTATGACAAGAAATTTATATTATCTGTATCTATAATTAGAGTAAACTAAAGCCCCCTTTTCTTGTGCCGGCGAGCTAAACACCCCCCCCCCCAAAAAAAAAATTTCTTGCTAAGATGGGCACATTTTTTGAAATTAAATTTTAATTCACCCCATTGTACAGGGTTAGCCTCGTTCACTTAATATGATCTTATTAGATAACAGTTACTTAAAGCACCTTATATTTGTTATATTTTGCACAAAGATATGGATAACATACCATATATCGAATTGAACAGCACAGGTAAGCCCAAAGGAGCTTTGGTTCAAGGGTGATGGCTTTGCATGGGATCTCGATGAAAAACATTTATGAATATATTTTATGAGCTGAAACAAAATTTCTTTCATATACTCATCTCATATTCTGTAAATCATGATTAAAAAGCTATTTATAAGTTATTTTAAACAATCTGATAACTTTATAATGACTCAATGGAGCTTTGATTTTGAGATTTTCATTGGCTCAAGGAATTCATTAGTACTCGTTCGGATTAAAAAAAATAAAAAGGAATATAACAGAATGTAATAATAACTAATGTAATGAGATGATAGTTGCATAGTATTGATCTGGTATGTTATCAATAAATTATGGATTAAATTTTTATATTTTATCTAAAGAGTAAAAATAAATCCGAAATTATATTTTAAACTTTATCGAGATAAAAAAATGGGAAGTACAAATATATCCATGCATTGATTCATGTGATTTTAAATTCATATTACATACTTAAAGTTACATAACAAGAATCACTTGGCATATTGTTGGATTATTTTATTGTGTCCATCAAACGCATGAATCGATAGAATACACGAAGATTATAGATTACTCTAACCAAACATAACAAGGAAAAAAATAAATTTATGTTTGAAATGATTGGTTGAAATGAGATCCATCCATAATGCATTAGATGGTAAGTTTATGTTTGACTTTTTATTACTCTAACACACGCCAATGCCCAATATGTCCTGTTTGTCATCACGATTGAAATCATTTATAAACATGTTTTACGTAAGTCGAAATAAAATTCCTCATATATATTTATCTCGTATTTCGTAAATCACGATTGAAAAACTGCTGATAAACTATTCTAAACAGCTTATAATTGATAAGCCTTAAGAATTTGCGGTCATGTTGGTAATTTTGAACTATCCTATTGTTTCGCGTTGTTTACTTTTTTGTTTGCTTGATTATATAATTGTGGTGTTGGGGCAAATAAACTAGGATATGCAGAACTAATGCATCTGCATTAGAAAGTCTACGAAGTCCAAATGTTATCCATGTATTCATATATGCTTTCTTTTTATCTGCCTATCTTTGAATGCACACACTCACTCACACACACACACACACACATTTCTGGGAAAATGAGGGTTATACATTATTTTCTTGAATTAGAACGCGCAACTTCTTATTTACAAGAAGCATATACGTCACTGAACTGTATGAGCTATAAAATCATTATCTGAGAGTTATATATTATTAATGAAAAATTAATTGAATATTAAAGATGGATAATTGTCACAATTTCTTCTGCTACCACATTCCACACACACATACTACTATGATTCTTAATATAAGATCTAGTTGATTAATCTGAAGAAATTAAGAAAGTCAATTATTTGCAGTAAATAGATGTTATCTTTCCCAAAACACCCTTATTAATTATGTTATTTGAATTACCTATTATAATAACTCCTTAACATATACAATCATTATAGGGATTATTTAGAGAAAAATGAATAAACATTGAAAACAAAATAGATTAAAATCTTATATTTAAAACCAAATTAAATATTAAATTAATTTTTATATTAAAGAAAATATAGTACTCCTTCGATCTTTAATATAGAATCTGATTGTTAAGTTGATTTTAGTCTTGAATATAAGACCTATTTTTCATATTTATCAATTTTTTCTAAATTACCTTTATGGATACTCCCTCAACCGTGATCAAATAGAAAAGGAAGAGAGGATATTAAGAAAGATGATTATAATATTTTAAAAAAAACATATCATATTTTTTATAATTAATTAACTTACCTAATTTTTTTAATATAATTAAATTAGTTAAATATATTTTATATTAAAAATGGGAGGAGCATCTTGTTAGGGTCCATGGCCAAGACAGTGGATCCCACCCCAAAAAAAAAAAAAAAGACCGCTTTCAACTGAGTGTCCCGTGGTACAGGTGTAATAGATATCAAACATTGATTAAGTGGGCACCAGGGACACGTGGAAAGACAACATTCGCTGCTAGATTTCCAAACGATAAAAACAAGGCAGACAGCAATAGCATATTGCGTCCTTTTGGGACAATTTTTCAGCCCCTCACCCACCCCTGACCTTACAGGCTGACCCCACTTCTTTTTTTTTTTTATTATTTACTAAAAGTATTTATTGTTTTCGCTTTTAATTGAAAAATAATATTGCCATTGACTTGACCAAATGCCAGTCTTCCCCTTACTCTTCTCATATAGACTACCCACCTGTGACAGACACAGCATACCTTCACATTTCTTCTGCCTCTTACAGTCTGAGAAGCATCTGAAGTTGGAGCCAACAACATCAACTCCGTGAGTTACTTCATGCACATCTCTTTCAGCTTTCAGGTTATTTGATCTCGTTTTGCCCTGGTATCTTTCAGTTTTCTTCATAACCTTCTGCTCTGTTTGTGTATATTTTCCTAATTAGTCAGCATCATTTCAAATAATATTAATTTTAAAGGAATGACCTATAACAAGAAAATTTTGGTTAAAAAAAAGCTGTAACAAGAAATTTATATTATCTGTATCTATAATTAGAGTAAACTAAAGCCCCCTTTTCTTGTGCCGGTGAGCTAAACACCACCAAAAAAAAAACATTTTTCTTGCTAAGATGGGCACATTTTTGGGAATTGAACTTTAATTCACCGTGTTGTACAGGTTAACCCCTTTCACTTAACATAATCCTATTAGATAACAGTTACCTAAAGCACCTTACATTTGATATATTTTGCACAAAGATATGCATAACATACCATATATCGAATTGGCATAGGCAAGCCCAAAGGAGCTTTGGTTCAAGGATGATGGCTTTGTTCGTGATCTCGATGAAAAGCATTTATGAATATATTTTATGTAAGTTGAAACAAAATTTTTTCCACATACTTATCTCATATTTTCTAAATTATAATTAAAAAACTATTTATAAGCTATTTTAAATGGCCTAATAACTTTATAATGACCCAATGGAGCTTTGATTTTGAAATTTTCATTGGCTCAAGGAACTCATGAGTACTCGTTCGGATTAAAAAAAAAAAAAAGGGAATATAACAGAATGTAATAACAACTAATGTAATGAGATGATAGTTACATAGTATTGATCTGGTATGTTATCAATAAATTATGAAATTAAATTTATATTTTATATAAAGAGTAAAAATAAATAGGAAATGATTTTTTTTTTTTAACTTTATCGAGACAAAAAATGAAGAGTGCAAATATATCCATGCATTGATTCATGTGAGTTTAAATTCGTATTACATACTTAAAAGTCACATAACAAGAATCGCTTGGTATATTGTTGGATTATTTTATTGTGTCCATCAAGCACACGAATCAATAGAATACATATCCTAGCCAAACATAACAAGGAAAAAGTGAATTTATGTTTGAAACGAGTGGTTGAAATGAGATCCATCCATAATGCATTAGATGGCAAGTTCGTATGTGATTTTTCATTACTCTTACGCACGTCAATTCCCAATATAATTGATAACTAAAATTTGTGTGTTGTTAAACAAGAGGAAGGGAAAGAGAGGGATTTTAATAAAAGGAAGGAGAGGGGAGGAGAGTAGAAGGATTTTAATACTCCTCCGGTCCTTAATATAGGACCCAATTCTTGAGTTGGTTTTGGTCCTAAATATAAGACCAATTTCTCATATTTATCAATTTTCTCTAAATTACCCCTATAGATACTCCCTCAACCATAATCAAATAGAAGAGGGAGAGGGGTATTAAAAAAGATGATTATAGTATTTTAGGAAAAATGTGTCACTTTTCTTATAATTAACTAATTTACCTAACTTCCTTAATCTAATCAAATTAGTTAAATGGGTCTTATATTAAGGACTGGAGGAGTATTACCTTATTTGTATTTATAAAAAAAGAGGGGAGGAGAGATGTTTTAATATTACCTCGTTTGATTCATGAGAATAGGGGAGAGAAAAATATTTTGACATGGATAATTTCGTCCTTATTTTATTTAAGATATAGGCATAATAGTCATCATATGACAAAATATGGGTATAATAATTACAACATGACAAAATATTACCCTTTCCTTCCAGATCCTCACAATTTTAGAGGGGAGGTTGAGGAGGGGAAGGGAGGGGAGGAAAAATTAAAAAAAATTTCCCTCCTCTCCTAAAATTTGTGTGTTGCCAAACAAGAAGAAATAATTAAAATCTTTCCCCCTCCCTCCCTTCCCCTCCAAATCTCTCATACCAAATATACTCAACGAGAAGAAGGGGAGGGGAGGAGAGTAGAATGATTTTAATATTACCTTATTTGGATTTATAAAAAAAAGAAGGGATGGGAAGGGTTTTAATATTACCCTGTTTCATTCATGGGGAGAGGGGAGGGAAAAATATTTTTACATGGACAATTTCGCCCTTATTTTACTTAAGATGTAGGCATAATGGTCATCACATGACAAAATATGAGTATAATAATCACAACATAGCAAAATATTACCCTTTCTCTCCAAATCCTCCCAATTTTAAAGGGGAGGTTGAGGAGAGGAGGAGAAGGAAAATTTTTTAAAATTTTCCTTTCCTCCTAAAATTTGTGCGTTGTCAAATAAAAAAAAAATGATTAAATTCTTTCCGTCTTCCTCCCCTCCCCTCCAAATCCTGGTCGTGTTGGTAATTTTGAATTATGCTAGAGTTTCACTTTGTTTGTTTTGTTTTGTTTTTGTTTGCTTGATTATATAATTATGGTGTTGGGGTAAAATAAATTAGGATATGCAGCAATAATGCATCTGTATTAGAAAGTCTGTGAAGTCTAAATGTCATCAATATGTATTCGTTAATGTTTTCTTTTTATCTGGCTATCTTTGAATACGCACGCTCACTTTTCAGGCCAAAAAAAGAACACACTCACTCACGCATGCGTATATATTTATTTCTGGGAAAATGAGAGCTATACAATATTTTTTTGAATTAGAGGGGTGGACATTAATAATATGAGATGATAAGTAAAATCGAACTTGCAACTTCTTATTTACAAGAAGCATATGTGTCACTAAACTATATGAGCTATAAAATCATTATTTGAGATTATATATTATTAATGAAAAATTAAATGAATATTAAAGATGATGGATAAATATCACAATTTTCTCCACTATGAGGTTCCACCAACACACATACTACATTCAGTTCTTAATATAATATTTAGTTAATTAATTTGAAGAAATTAAAAAAATTAGTTATTTGTAATAAATAGATTTTATTTTTATTATGACACTTTTATTAATTATGTATATTTGAATTACCTATTAATAATAACTCCTTAACATATACAACTACTATAGGTATTACTTGAAAGAAAAATAAATAAATATTAAAAATAAAATAGATCAAAATCTTATATTTAAAATCAAATTAAATACCAAATTAATTTTTATATTAAAAATAATATTTGTTAAGACGCAAGGGGCAACGGTAGATCCAAACCACAAAAAAAAAAAAACAAGAGTATTCCATGATAAAATTGCAATAAGTCTCCACTCAAGAGAATTAAATATAAAAAAAATCTCTTAAAATCATCAAATTATTTTGAAGTCCTAAATGACGTTATTGTAAGCGATTCCATTTGTTAAATTATCAAATTGTCTTTTTTTTTAATTTTACATTAACAACTAAAAGAATAGCTATTAACAATTTAAGGTGTAACGATTAATGACTATCATGACAGCTATTGATAGAAAATGTATTGTCACTAATTGTCACGATAGTTGTTAATCGTTACACCTTAAGTTGTTAATGATTGCTTTTTCAGTTGTCAATACAAAATTTAAAAAAATAATAAAAATAATTTAATAATTAAACAGATAAAATATTTTGTAATATGTTCTTTTAGAACTTCAAAATAATTTGATAATTTTAAATGATTTTTTTATATTTAATTCTCTTGGTTGGGGTTTTATTGTAATTTTCTTGTTTCATGGTGCGAGATAATGGATGTCAGAAATTAAGTGGGCCCAGTGGACACGTGGAAACTAGATTTCCAAACATCAAGAACCAGCGGGACAGCAGCGGGATGTTGCTTCCTTTTCGGATAATTTTTTAGCCCCACTCACCGCTAACCCTTCCACCTTTGTGTTTTATTTTTATTAATTAAAATTATTTATTGTTTTCACTTTTAATTAAGAAAAAAGTTAAAAAAAAATTATAAATAGAAAAATTATAAATAGGGGTTCATTATAAAATTAGTATAGATTTTGACAATAATTGATAAACAAATAATAACAATTTTATGAACGGGTCTTGTATGTAATTTTTTTAATTTTTAAAATTTCTTTCTGCGATTTTTCCTTTAATTAAAAAATAATATTGCCATTGACTTGACCAAACACTGGTCTTCTGTCTTCTTTTAACTCTTCTCATTTGGACTATGACAGAGAGCAGACCTTCACATTTCTTCTGCCTCTTACAGTCTGAGAAACAGTAGTAGTTGGGAACAACATCGACCCCATGAGTTAATTCTAGCAAATCTCTTGAGCTTTCAGGTTACTTGATCTCATTTGCTCTGGTATCTGTCAATTTTCTTCATAACTTTTTACTCTGTTCGTGTATATTTTCCTAATTAGTCAGCATCACTTTTTCCTTTTTCCAAAAGATTCATTACTTTAGATCTGCTTGTTCATCACTTTCAGAGGCATATTTGCTGGAGAAACAAAAGTCCAGATTTCAGTTCAAGTCTCGAGGTAAAGAAAAGTTCTTAAATATGGAAAATTCTTAGTTTATTACAGGACGAAGAAAACCGGCATAGTGTATATTTAAATAGCAGCAGGAAAAAAAATGCTCAAGAAGCTGTGCAGTGTATATGCTTTTGAATGCATGATATTTTGCTCTCTTCAGTACAGTGATTTTGGCAAAAGCACTTTTTCATCATATTTATTGCCAACAAGGTCAAAGAGCACTTCTACTCACTGTTGCTAAGTTATTTCATTTGTTTCTCTGTTCACATACTTCACGGTCTAATTAAATCACTATCAGAGTATTTGAGGTACAAATAACAAAACTACAAGAGGAGAATGATTTGTTATGTCTATAAAAGTACTTAATCAAATTTGTGTTTGCTTTACAAGGAGAAATGGCTACATCTGATGCACATTCAACAAGTTCAGAACCACATCAGCGGCTTCAAAGGGTTGTTTCAGCTCAGTTTAGGACGCCTTCCCTTGATCTATTATCAGATACAGGTAATATCTCTATCCTATATATGATGATTCACATGCAAGTTTCTTCATGGATCAAGCTCTATTTTCCTTTTTCCAGAACTACAAGTTAAAACTATGTAAGCGTCCTTGACAATAAACTCGGCCGTATCAATATATTAGTTGGTGTAATATCAAAGTTTGGATCTGCAAAGACAAAAGTTCAGAATTTGTAAAGGGTCCTATGTTCTAATTTCAGATGATATTTGGCTCATACATCTCTGACTTTTCAGGTTACTGACTTCAGGTGTTTCGATTTAAACTTTTTTCATGTTAAACCTCTACGTAGCAACCAATACCTGTCATTTGAAAGAATCTTTCGTCTGTCATGAGTTATACCAGCAAGAATGATGAAAACAACACTTTCTAATTACAGATTAGCTGCTTCATGTGACTCAACACTGAACTTCCTACTCTCAAGCACAAGAAATCCAAGGATTCTAAACAAATCTGAATCCACTAAATTTTTTTTTTTTTAATCTGTTACTTGTTTCAGAAGAAGCCAGAGAAAAATACTTCAAAATTTGTGTACCTCTTCGTAAAGCAGCATTGAAAGGTGATTGGAAAGCAGTATGGCACATCATAGAACAAGATTTGACCCTTCTGACTGCGGCCATAACCAAGGGTTGGTTAACGGTTCTTCATGTCGCAGCAGGAGCAAACCATGTCCACTTGGTTGAAGAGTTGGTGAAATTAATGGAGCGGAATGACTTGGAATTACAAGACCAAAAAGGGAACACAGCCTTCTGCTTCGCTGCTGCATCTGGGAACATCAAGATTGCTGAAATAATGCTACAAAAAAATGTATTCTTGCCAAATATCAGGGGTGGACAAGGAGTGACTCCTGTCGTCATGGCTGTTTTACAAGGGAAATGTGAAATGGCATCGTATCTATATCCTAAAAGTTATGAAATATTTGACGACTGGGATTGGAAACTACTGTTCTTCATTTGTATCAACTCTGGAATCTATGGTAAGTATAAGGTCCCCAAGCTGTCAATCAGTATAGGGTGAGAGGCAAAATAGTTTATTTGAGCTTTAAAGTTGATAAACATATCATTGTTATTTGCTCCTGATCAGAAGATCTTGGGGGATAAGATCTTGGGGGAAAATAGAGATGATAGAAATAGTCTTTGCTCATGCCTGCGCTAATTGGTCTGCCAAGCTAGCTTTCACAGTAAACTTAGAGGGATTTAAGGCTTTGGATCATTCAAGTCATGTTTACCACAAGCATTGGAGGGCCCACACTCATGTTCCTTAATTTAGTTGGTAAAATTCAACATACTACTTCTGGTTTTTAATATAAGAGCTAGTTAATTAATTTGAGTAGATTAAAAAAATTGGTTAGATATTTATAATAAATAAGTGTTGTCTTTCCTAGAATATCCTTACTAATTATGTGTATTAGCTAAAACTACCATTTGATAGAATTTTTAACATGTGCAACTACTATAAGAACTACTTAAAAAAAAAAAAAAGATAGATATAAGAAACAAAGTGGATTTAGGTCTTATATTTAGAATTGAGTTAAACTAGCTCTTATATTAAGGACCGGAGGTAGTATAGGGTGGACTTTACAGAATGAAAGGTTCAACCAATATATAACCATCGAGCAATGGATGAATGATCAAAACACAAATAATTGACTGTTTCATTTATGATTTTCACCTTTCTTAAAATTGCATGGTGAGAGCACTCAAAATTAGTCATATGTGTGATTCCGCTTGATGTAGTGTGTGAACTACAAGTACCTCACTTAGTTACACATCTCTAAAGCAATGTACGAATTGTAAACAAAGAAGTTGAAGCATATACAAGTAGACACCAACAATTATGTATTAGAATTTGCAATTCAAGCATTATTGGAACGTCTTGCAGATTTAGCCTTGGTACTGCTACAAAAGAGGCCAGAGCTAGCTTTAGCTCAGGATGGAGAAGATGGCACAGCTTTGCATATGCTAGCTCGAAAGCCTTCAAGTTCTGGTTGCCAGAGTCCCGCACATCAAAAACAGATCATGAAGTCCAGTAAGTGACTACAATCAACACTATCAGGAAAACTAAGTAATTAGATTATTTTGTCCATTTATGTTATTTATTGGGCAGAAGAAGAAATACTTAATATTCCTGATTACTTGAAAGAAGGAAAGCAGGATGGTGAAAGAAGCTACCATCAGTTCTTGCTTTAAAGATTCTCAAGAAGAAAACGGTTCTGTGCTTGGTTATTCTTATTTTCATTATGGCAGGCATAGGCTGAATCTAATTTTAAAAGCGAAAGTACTCCAATCATCCTATACATAACTATTGACCCAAGGAAGATGCTACCTCCGACCCTTAATATAAAAAGTAGTTGACTAATTTGAATAAATTAAGAAAATTAGTTAAGTTAGTTATTTGTAATAAATAGGTGTTGTCTTCTTTATAATACCCTTACTAATCATATGTATTGACTAGAATTTTCATTTAATGGAATTTTTAACATGTGCAACTATTATATGGACTACTTTAAGAAAAAAAGGATACACATGAGAGACAAAATAGATTGAGGTCTTATATTTGGGATCAAGTTAAAAGTCAAAGTAACCCTTATATTAAGAACGGGTAATACAAAGCAAAGATGCTTGACTCATAAATAAATGTATTCATCCAAGGGTAAGACTAGGAATAGGTTGTCAAGGACAAATTCAACTCAAAAATCAAAACATCAAGTTGCGATGTGGCTGTTTTTCTGTATGGTCATCTATAGCTATATTGCAATATCTAACTTTTCGTTCATTTGAATGCACTTTAGGATTAAGTGCCGATGCATTTACGCCACACATTTATACTAGGTGGGAAGGACTAAACTCTAGACTGCTTGGTTAAAAACACAGCAATATTACAAATGCTATAAATATGTTATACTGTGTGGAATTGATTTTTTATGACCTTTTTTTTTCCTTGTCTTACTTCTTCATTACATAACTAAATTGTTTCAGGTGTGAAGCAGAACCTCGCTATTGAGCTTGTTAGGAATATTTGGAATGAAATTCTTCTTCAAGATGAGTCGAGCATGATGAGACTCATAAGAGAACCTTCACAAGTTATATTCAATGCCGCTGAAGTTGGAAATTTTGAGTTTCTAGTAGAGCTTTTGAGCAGCTACCCTGATTTGATGGCGGAAAAGGATAGCAGAAACCGAAGTATAATACACATCGCTGTTTTGTATCGTCATGCTAGTATCTTCAACCTCATACATGAAACAGGTCCAAACATGGACTCTATAGTTTCTTCTGTGGATGTTACTGATAAATGCAATTTATTGCATTTTGCTGCAAAACTAGCACCGCAAAACCGACTTGACTTGTTCTCAGGAGCAGCTTTTCAGATGATGGTTGAGCTATTATGGTTTGAGGTATCTTACCCTTATGGTTTGTGTATGTATGATTTCATGAAGCTGAGAGGCTGTTAGTTCCATAACAAATTCACGTTCTAATGTGGCAGGAAGTGAAGAAGATATTGCGACCATCATTCATGGAGATGAAAAACTCTGAAGGCCTAACTCCTAGAGAATTATTCACCAAAGAGCACAAAAAACTGCTAAAAGAAGCAGAGTCTTGGATGAAGGGAACTGCAAAGTCTTGCATGGTTGTTTCAACACTAATTGCTACGGGAGTATTTTCTGCTGCATTCACCATTCCTGGTGCTAACAACAATGACACAGGAGATCCTAACTATTTGAAGAAGCTACCATTTCAGATATTTGCTGTGTCAGATGCATCTGCATTTATTTCATCCTCAACCTCCATCCTAATCTTCTTGTCTATCCTTATCTCACGGTATGCAGAACAAGATTTTCTCAAGTCACTGCCATCGAAGTTAATATCTGGGCTAATAGCACTGTTCATCTCCATCATCTGCATGATGGTAGCTTTTAGCAGTGCCTTCTTTGTGACATATTATCATGGTCCAAAGTGGGTCCCCTGGCTCATTTCAGTACTTGCATTTGTACCAATACCTCTGTTTTTGTTCCTGCAATTCCCTCTTTGCTTAGATATACTCTATACCAAATACTTCTTCAGGTCTCTTTTCCGACCAAATAATCATATACTGTACTAGACTCTGTAATTCTGTGTATGAATAGAGTACGTTTAGTTGGGTCAAAATGTATTGTATTTTATTACAATAATAGGATGTGCTTATGGCCAAGTTGAAGGAAGATGCAATTCTATGTTAGCGCACATATTTCATTGATCCTTTCCCCAATCTTGAACTTGACTCGATTGAATTATTCTGCTGTACTATAAGGTATAGTTTTTATTAAATTTAGACTGACTAATAATATGAAAAAACTCACAAAACATGTTAAAGTAATACTCCTTCGATCCTTAATATAAGACCTAATTATAGAGTTAATTTTGTTCATAAATATAAGACTTATTTCTCATATTTATTAATTTTTTCTAAATTGCCTTTGTAGATACTCCTTCAACTTAACGAAGTAGAAGAGTGAAAGAGAATATTAAAGAAGATGGTTATAGTGTTTTAAGAAGAAAAACATGTCATATTTCTCATAATTAACGAATTTACCTAACTTCTTTAATCTAATCAAATTAGTTAAATAAGTCTTATATTAAGAATCAGGGGAGTATAAAAATAATTTATGCCTCAGCGTTAAATATAGCCCCTACAAAGCATGGTGTGACTGCAATATCATACTTCATGATAGGGGTAATTTATTTTGACACTTTTATTATTAGTTTTTTCCTTTGGAAAAATAACACAAAAACACTTACTCAAAGCCAACCGTTTATTATTATATATGATTAATATCCTTGAGCTACTCATATATAAAATATTAGGCGTAGATCGTTTTATATTGTATATGCATATTTCATGCGCATATCATAAAATTATACCTGATCAAAAATTATGGTTTTAAATATGCGTATGAGTGTCTCGCTCATAATTTAATTGCGATTATTGTGTGCGTGTGTGTGTAGTTGTGGCCTGAATTAATTATGATCTAAATATGGATATAAAACTGTGACTAACCCTTGATTTGGGAAAGATTATTTTAGACGCACGTGGTTGGCTGAACCATGTGGTTTGATCAAAGGTTAACTAAATTGCCGCTGAACTGACCATGGTTTTTCTTAACACTGATGATTAATTAACAAATAATTTAGTCACGATTTTATCAATAAGTGGTGTGGTCAGTAAGCATTTTGAGATATACGATTCATTTAGTTTGCAAAAGCAAATTGTTACATATCTATGTGTATGCTCGTTAGTGGTTAGTGGTTAGTGGCTATTTAATTAGCTTAATTTGTAACAAAAATAATTGGGGGGACCTATATATAATTACTATTCCGTTAGATCTTCAAATATTAAATCCACCATATGTCTTCCCGATCAAACAGTTTCACAGTTTCATTAAAAATAATTTATTAAAAGTTAAGCAGTACTTAACATGCAAAACAATCCCAAATTCTAAAAACCTACTGCCCCCAGTCGTCAAACTCACGAGTTTAAACAAACTTGTGAGAATGAGATAAACTCGGATTGTAAACTCGAATCGTAAACTCGTAAAAGTTTACTTTTATTAATAAATTGGTATTAAAAGTATATAATCAAATAATTAATATATAAAAAATGAGAATAATTTCATTTAAATATATTTTAAATTTAAATAATTAAAATTATATCCATCAATGATCATAATTTATTACATTCAACAAAGAAATTTCTATAAAATTCATATATAAAGTCACTAAACGGAATCAAATCCAAAAATTTAGCATGAGTTTAAGAGCGAGTTGATATGATTTTGCAAGCTTAAAATGTAAAAACAGTAAACTCGGTAAATAAACTCGTAAGTTTAACTGAGTTTACAGTTATCACGAGTTTAAGAGTAAATTGACACGATTTTGTTGGCTAAAAATGTAAAAACATTAAACTTAGAGAGTCAACTCGTGGGTTTGACAACAATACTTCAATCCTAATTGTAAGACTTTGTTTTTTTTTTAATTGCTCAGAGTATCCTCCTACCCGAACGGTAAGAGACTAATCTCTGAACCCAGAATATGATGTTTAAGGTGCCCAAGTCCCTTTCATTTGGACCAACATTTGTTGGTTATATAAAACCTTGTTTGTAGTCTATAAACAAGTTCTTATAATTAAAAGAAGGTGTAGTATATTGTTGGGCCTTCGGAGAATCCACTCTTGAGAGTTTTTGAATTATTATATACAATAAAATAGAAAAGATTTGTCTTAACCACATGGTACTTCCTTCGATCCTATATATAAGCTTCAAACAACCGAATCAGGTTTAACAGACCAGCAGTTAGAATTAGTTAAAAATAATAAATAGGTCAGAAATACTTTTGTTTCAAATTTGCCCTTATTTATTAAGAGAATAAATGAGAGAGGCAATAAATGAAAAGGTAATAAAAAAGAATATATAGATATAATATTAATAAGAGGGATGGAGCACTAAATACAGTTAACTAAGAATAAAATCATAGAAAAAGTAATAAATATTCATACAAACTAAAAAAATAAAGTTTATATTTTGGACCAAAATTTTTTTTATAAAAAAAATAAGGTTTACATATAGATCAGAAGGAGTATAACATATAAGAATTTTTTTTTTTTTGGGGGGCCGGGGGAAGGGCCCCAGTGAATATGATGTGAAATTAGCGTCCGTCCAATTTGTCATCTTATTTTCCTCATCTTTTTAGTTACGTTCATGCATAAACACAAAGTATGGGATCAACACGATGTTTCGTGTCCATATTGACAGCTTCAAACTCTGTGATGCCTCAAAGTAAATTACACCTAATCACGTATTATAAATTCGAAAAATACTTTTTCCAAAGAATTAGCTCTAAATATTAATTATTCCTCATATATTGTAAAATGTAAATACCTTATGATTTAAGGTTTCATTTATTTTTATAACGACAACTTTAATTTGATTTATTCAGAGTTTTTAAATATTTTTAAGACTTTCTAAAATACGTATTCTTAAGGCTAGTTATTTAATTTTATCCGAGTCATGTCTGAAGTCTTAAATAATGTGTTTCGCCATTGAAAACTAGGCGATATTCAAAATACGGGGCCCCAGAGCCAATTGTCTCTGCTTCTAGAGCCAAATTTTTTTCTAGAGTCAAACTGCTTCTAGAACCAAATTAAACAAGGACAACAGATCAACGGAAATCAAGCTCAGACGCAAAACACATGATCCCCCGTTTCGACCATTCACATCGATTTTGGATGGTTAAATTTTTTTTTATACATTTTAATTAATTTTCTGTTTTAATAGGTGTAGAATTTAAGATAAATATAATCTTACGGCTAATAATTTTTTTTAAAAAAATAAATTTATCATTAAACAAATTTATATAAAAAGTTTAAAATCTAAATCTCTGAATGGTTTAAATTGCATTATACATACAAGCACACATTTCTTAACGAAAGCCGTCTCACTTCAATATCCCTGCGACAATCTGCCTCGAAACGAAATCGGGAATGAGCATACAACCTAATAAAGAGAAGAGAGATTGTACTTCATATTTAGCTTTTTCGTATGGATTTAAGTTTTGCACGAGAAATACAAGAGTTCTTCTGTGTTATACACACATTATATATAGGCTCATTACTTGAGAGGTTCGGGTTCTGCAAGTACCCTTTTGGTAGTTATAACACACACACGCACACACATATTAAAAATATAGCCAGTATGCGAAAGCTTTTACCGGGTAATAGATATCATTGCATGGATACTTGAAACTGATATCGAAAAATAACATTATGGGTTAAGATATAGTTTATTCCTAAAAATTTTCACGCAGGAGTATTCAGAAATTTTGAGGAGTAATGTTGAACCTCCTAAGAAAAGTTTAGTAATATTCCTCTCATCCTTACTTGCATCCCAAGTGGTACTGCCACCTCACCACCCCCCCTCTCTTCCTGGTGAACCACCGTGGATTGCCTCTTGATTATTCTTCTCGCACCCGCACTATGCAGCCCTGTCAGCAAACCTCCCTGATGAGATATTATTAGAGATGCCATCGTAGAAGATGAAGCCGACGACGACGATGATAAAGCTGAAGGCAACGCTGATGACTGAAAATGACGAGCCATTGAAGATGACATAACCATCTGATCGCAAAAATTCATGGGAAGCTCTGAAAACTGCGAGTGCCTTGAAAATCACTTGATGTCGCCGGCTAAGAACCCAGGAAGGATGGTGGTGAAGGGATTTCGCACGAACAATCACCTCAGTGGACGTCGGAATGGACAAAAGGGTACTTGCAAAACCCGAACCTCTCAAATAAGCCACGGCTGTCGTGGTCGCAGGTTGCCGTATCTGACATTTTCTGGGAAATTGAGCTTAGCCTTGTTGCCTCCGAAACGCAGGGTAGCTTCGTGGTATGCCCGGGCAGCCGCCTCCGCCGTGGCTAAAGTGCCAAGCCAGACTCGGGCAGCTTTGAAAGGATCTCTGATTTCAGCTGCCCACTTCCCCCGTGGCCTTTGTCTCACTCCACTATACTTTCTTCTTCCTTCTTCAGAACTCCACTATTCATACACTGCATTTTCCATTTGCACTCTCTCTTCTCTTCAACCTTCTCCTGCAATACGTATTCATTCGCACGAGTTTATCAGCATTCTATAAAAGATCCCGCGTGGTGATACGATAATAAGACAGAATCTTGTGTGAAAGTGATAACTGGTTTGTTGCATTCAATCTTTTTTCTATTGCATTGTGAATGCATTCCCAACATTCTCAACGTTCCTACCTGATGATGTTAAATTAAAGCCCATTAATTAGGAGAGAAATGGGGAAGGGAGGGAGTGCCAAGATGGCAGCATCACGTCCTAGGTGAAAACTTCCGGGCAATATTCAACTCAAATGAAAAAGGGTATGGATATATAGGTATATATGGTATATATATTAGAAGAAAAAGGAGGAGTAACTACAAAGCTGACAAGTTTATGGGCTCAATGAGAGGTGGGATCATCATGGTTTGCGGGAGAAGATCATGCGGGGAGTTGGGATTGGAGTGGCCGGGGTTATTGAAGAAGAAGTGGTGGTGAGAGGATGTGGTGTATTTGCTGGGGAAAAAGCCTTCTGCGTGGTTGGCATTTGAGTGCCACGAGCAGTTGTTGGAGGGTTAGAGCCGACCTGAGTGTTATGGGTGGCTGGCGTAAGAA